GATCCTTATTTACACTTTCAGTTTCTCACACCAGAGAAACTATTTGGTATTTACACATGTGTGTCCTATTTATTTCACTTAAGAGTATGGCCTCAGGAGATCATGTTTTTTAAACTATCATGAGAGCTCTAAGTTAAGGTTGTATACAATTAGAATTTCAAAATAAATCAGAGCTATAATTTAACAACAATGAATATTGATTTAGGAGTTCCTGGTTTTAATCCCAGTTCTGCTTCTGATGGTTTTATTTGGAGCAAGTAACAACTTACCTCAGCTTGTTCTGTTCTGCCAAACAAGGAAATTAGTCGAGTCCAGTACTGTTGAGTAGAACTTTCTGCAATAATGGAAATGCTCTCCTCTCTGTGCAACATGATAGGCACTAGCCACATGTGATGATTGAACACTTGAAATGTAGCTGGTGTGTCTAAGGAACTGAATTTTACATTTCTCTTGATTCTAATTAATTTAAATAACTGCATTTGGCTAATGGCAACCATATTGGCCTCAGAGGTCTACACTTACTCTCACTCACTCAGCAAGCTCTTGAGTGCCTACATCTCCCAAGCATCAGGCAAGGTGAAGATAGGGTTATTACACTGTACCTTTGCCCTCAAGGAATTGATATGGAGGAAAACTAAATAAGTTCTTACTAACATGTATACAAAAACTACTATGTATTGATAAAGAATAGAGCCATAACCAGAGGGTATATTGTCTCTAAAGTTCCTCTCAATGTAAAAGTACAAGGGCTGATTAAAAAATATGGTGTTTAAATAAAAAATAATTATTACAGTAAAAGACACATTGCCATTGATTTCCACCAAAACGCTGTCCCTTGGATTAAATGCACGTATTCCATCACTCTTGCCACTTGTTGAAGCTGTTCTGGAAGTCCTCTTTTGTGAGTGTCTTTATGGAGTATGATACAAATATGGTGAACACAGCTGTTGAGTGCCACCCAATCAAAAAGCAGGCTCCAAAAAACACTACTGTATGTCCTTATTCACCTTATTCATTGGTCTTGGCACTGTGTGACTTCTGGCTGTTCCCCAAAATCATGATGACCATGAAAGGTAAATGTTTTGAATCAAATCAGGACACTGAGGCAGACACAATAGTGCAACAACACTCATGAAAGAGTATTTCCAGAACTGCTTCAGAAAGTGGCAAGAATGATGAGTGTGTTCAAAGTGAGGGAGAATATTTTAAGGGAGATTAATAGCAATGTGTCTTACTTTAATAAGTTTTTAAAAAATTTAAGTATTCACCATATTGTTTTATCAAATCTCATATATAAATTAAGCTCCACAAGTATTTACTGAGCACCTATTCTCTGTCCAGGTCTTTATTTACTCCAATTCTTAGTATAGCATTATCACCCAGAGATAGTAGCTAACAAATACTATCAGTACTCTCATTTTGTTGATTGACTGATTGATCATTTGGTCAGCCAATTGACTCATTCATTCAATACTTAGTGAGTTTTTTATGTACCAAGCACTTTGCTAGGCACACATAAAAAAGTTAATTTAATGATGTCTTAAAGGTGATCTCAAAAGTTCATAGTGAAATACAGATTTTGTTTTTAGGAAATGACTTACAAGGTGCTAGGTTCACTTTGCCTATATTTAGAATAATGATGTTTTAAATACTGAACAAATGAAAGCCAAATCAGTATTCATTGCCTCATATTAATAATAAAGTGGAAATGAAAGAATTAGGCATGTTTGCCCATTAAAAACTACCTGCATTCTTTTCAATAGAATATACTGAATATGCTAGAGAAAATACATTGAGGAGATATATCTAAGACAACTTCTGGGTTTTTGTCTGTCTGTTTGTCTTGTTTTGTGGTACCAGGGATTGAAACTCGGGGCACTCTACCACTGAGCCACATCCCCCTTTTTATTTTTTTATTTTTTATTTTGAGACAAGGTCTTGCTAAGTTACTAAGTTGCCCACACTAGACTTGAATTTGGTAATCTTCCTGTTTTAGACCCCCAGAGTGCTGGGATTACAGCTGTGCACCCCCATGCCTGGCCAAAAGATTCTTTTATATTGCTACCTGAATATAAACATTTATTCTTTTTCAATGTAATTTTTTTCTTTTTTGCTAATGTCTAGCTACAGTATCATGTCCAATATTTTTCCATTTAGATCAAGTCTTTTATATGAAACTGGTGTGATGTTGCTGCTTATATATTGAATATATACATATTTATTCCTCAACTATTCTTTGGGTAGTTGACCGGTATATGGATATTACTGTGCGATTAAATTAGAGAATACAAAAACAAATAAGAGTTGGATCTTCTCAAGAAAACGAGAGTAGGGGAAATAAGAAACAGAAGAAAATTGAGAAAGAGACCTTTATATAACCCCTTTAGAGTACTTCAAAGAAGGAAGCAGTTACCACCAGATGAGACAGAAAAAGAAAACTTTGGAGGATGTGGGATTGAACCTTGAAGAAAGTGTAAGATCTATAATTGCAGAGAAGGAAGGAAAGGCCATTTCTGAGGCAGGAAAGCAGAAAGTTAGGGAGAAAAATTTGAGTTAAAAGAAAAACAAGCTATAAAAAAGCAGAGGAAAGTCACATTGGGAACATAGATTGTGGTAATATCTTGGTTTTAAATGCCAGACTGGAGAATTGAGACTTTATCTTGTAGTTTGTAAGGCATTTGGAAAAGGTAATGAAAAATTATAGTTGTTCATTAAGAAAATTCATCTGACAGGAGTATTTAAGTTATGTTGGGATAGGAAGAGGCTAAATGCAGGGATAATTTATAAGGCTAATCACCCCAGGATGGCAGGTAATCCCTCTGAAGTAGTATACCATCTGGGGGACTAGAGAGGAGCAGAGTTATGAGAGGAAATTGTAAAACTAGATTCAGTGGAACCTGGAAACCTATTCCATATGGTGATGGAATGAGGGGAAGAAGTAAAAAATGACTCCAAGTGTAGACTGGTGCAACTACTGTGGAAATCAGTATGGAGATACCTCAAACAACTAGGACTGGAAGTCCCATTTGACTCAGCTATTCCCCTGCTGGGTATCTTCTCCAAAGAATTAAAAAGAATGATACCACAGCGATATATGTGCACCCATGTTCATAGCAGCACAATTTGTAATAGCTAAAACTTGGAAGCAGCCCAAATGCCCATCAACCGGAGACTGGGTAAAGAAAATGTGGGTTTTTCTCAGAAAATGGAGTACTACTCAGCCATAAAAAATGGGAAATTAGAGACATTTATAGCTAAATGGATGCACATTGAGGCAATACTTTTAAGTGAAATAAATAGGACACACACGTGTAAATACCAAATAATTTCTCTAGTGTGAGAAACTGAAAGGGTAAATAAGGACTAAAAGGTATAATAGATAATGTGAAATAGGAAGAAAAGGGGCAAAGGGGAAGGGGAAGTGGGAGGGGTAGGGGAAAGGAAAGAAGGGAATGAAATTAATATGAACAAGTGAAAAAAATGGAAACAAAATCTTTGTAAATAGGGAGGGCAGAGGAAGGGGGAAAAATAAGAGCTAAGAGAGATTATGTAAAGGTGCAAATTTCCAATGATGAATGTCATTATATTGTATACCTAAAATGTACCAATAAAATAAAATTTAAAAAAAACTTTGAAAAAAAAAGATCCAATATTAAAAATCTCCATGAGAGAGAGGATGGATACTTCAGGCAAGTTTAAGGAATACAGGAGAGAAAAAGATCCAGGTTGATATAGAAAATGTGCTCTTGTAAAGAAGAAATATATTTATATGACATTCTGGGAGAAAATATATATGCACCCCTCTCATAAATCTGTATCTCGATGTCAATGATGAAAATGGGAAGGACACTGGAGACATCTTGAATTTTTTATGATAATAAGTGTATGAGTGTCCAGATTACTTGTATTTAATGCTGTTTCCTGTGTTACTGAAGTATATTTATGTTTTCAGACTGATGAGTTGGAGAAATGCTTCTTGTAACCTTAAGCTGATCTTCCTGGTTGGGCAAGTGGCTGAGGTATATAGATTTTCTTAGTGCACTCAACATCTTTAGCAATGGAGATTCTTAAAATAGCACAAAAAATCTTTAACAAGAAAAAAGTGCCCATCCATGGGAAGACTTGATTTAAGCTTTTAGGTCACACCCTCTTTGAGCACTTAAACTGAAGGACTTCTCAGTTCTCAGAATTTCTGTTAAAAACCTTTATAAGACAGAATATTCAGGTTTGAAATTGGTTAAGATAAAACAATTTTAAGGGTTTAACAATTGTTTTATTAGAGTACTAAACAGATAAGAAAGGAAGATCTGTTATTGAAAGTGAGTCCATAAATATCTTAAACAGTAATTTACCCCATATCTAAGGTTCTGTATTTTCAATCTGAAATTAGGGTCTTTTAGCATATTTATAGTACCATAGTTAACTTTACTAACTTCTAACTCTCTTTAAATCTTAAGAGTTATATTTTGTCTGTTTGAAGGAGAGGAGAGTAGAGACTTAAGGCATGCTGAGATATTCAGTATCATTTCCTTTCTTTGGCATGCTTCAAAATACTAAGAAGATAGATGGAAGGTTGCTGTGTGGGAACAGGAAGATGCTACATGCTTGGCAAGTCAATTTGACTAAAGAAGATGATAGCGGAATCCTGGTAGTTTTGATATGAAGGAAAAACACCAGAATAATAATGTGGATGGTGGGCTGGGGATTTAGCTCAGTGGTCTTGCTGCCTGCTGTGCAAGTGCAAGGACCCGAGTTCGATCCCTGTTACCAAAAAAAAAAAAATAATAATAATGTGGATGGTAAAAAACCGAAAGGAAAAAATATTCTCCATGAAATGTAGGAAAAGAATCAGAGATGTTGGGTGTGGTGGTGCACGCCTGTGATCCCAGCACTTGGGAGGCTGAGGCAGGAGGATCACACCAAGATTGAGGCCAGCCTGGGCTACACAGTGAGACCCTGTCTCAAAAAACCAAAAACAAACAAACAAACAACCCCCCCCCCCGCAAAAAAAAAATCAGGAGTAAATGCAGGACTGACCTAAAAGCAAGCTTCATCAAAATTATTCAGTATTTTGCTTCAACTTTTGGTTTTATTTTTAGTGAAAAATTGATGTTTTAAAACATGTCTTAGCTAATCAAGCACCTTGATTTATAGAATCCCTGTTTGGGTTGACTTTATTGGCCTTGCACTGTGATAAGCCTGGACTAGAGCAAGAATGACGTTGCTGCCTCCGGATAGAAGCTGTTAGTAAAACAGGGGTAGTGCTTCTGTGACACAGAAGGGTTGATGGCAGTAGAAAAGGACTCTCCTTTGCTGATTAGAGTGACACTTGGTTATTGAAGAATATTGATGTGCTTTGAATTATACTGTAAATCTATTCCTAAAACTTGCATATAAACTGATTTTGTGATTGTTAATAAAACTTGAGTGGCTATTTTATATTTCCAGAATTCCTGTATTTTTATTTTTGATTGATTTTTTTTTTTGGTACTAGGGATCAAACTTGGGACCTTGCCCTTGTGAGGCAGGTGGCAGAACCTCTGAGCTAAATCCCTGGTCCTTTTTGATTGATTTTTAATTGGCAGAGGTTTCTAAGATTTTTATTCTAAGTTTCTTTGCTACTGTCTACCTTTCATGCTGTCCAGGCTTGCTTTATAAATCCTAATACATGTTTATTTGTTGTGATTTTAAAATTTCATTCATAATATGAGAAATGACCCTTTGTTCTGTTTCCTCAATTTAAATCCCCCAAATCTAGATTTCTGTAATAATAACAATAATAATATCACCAAGCATTCATCAAGCACTTATTATGTACGAAGGATTGTACTAGCCTAAATATTTCATGTATTCATTTATCTAAACCTCACACTCAAGATAGCTTACATGGTATTATTTTCCATTTTACAGATGAAAGAACTGAGGCATGGGGAAATTAAGCAACTCTTACAAGATTACCCAATCGGTAAGTGACAAAAACCTTGTACATCAGGGTTTCTTAAATGAGGTTCATAAAGCAATTGTTGCACTTGTAAAACTTCCATTCTGGTAGGCAAGACAGGCTTTAAATATACAAATAACAAAAAAGCTAGTATATAATAATGTTAAGTGCAATGAAGAAGAGCAAAAAAGGTGAGGAATTAGTTGAGACAGAAAATTCCAATGGAAGGAATCTTCAGTTATGAGTCTTCCCTATGACCCAGGAGGACTGGGGAGACTGGGAGATGGGGATTAAAAACAGGTGTTTTTAACTTCACCTCATGCCTGGTGAGAGAGGCTCTCAATAAAGCCTCCCACATGGAGAGTTGATCTGATAGCCTCTGGATTCCATGGGTCACCAAGTAATTCTATTACTTAGAAACTTATTTACTAGTATTGGCATAGAAAGTAACTGTAATCCTTCACTGGCAGCTCAAGGTTATGAAATCCTTGGTAGGAAAATATAGCTGGGGGTAATTTAAAAAGGATCATGCTTAGCCAGGTGTGGTGGTGCACATGTGTAATTCTAGCCACTCAGGAGGCTGAAGCAGGAGGATTGCTAGTTTGAGGGCCAGCCTGGGCAACTTAGCAAGATCTTGTCTCAAAATAGAAAGTAAAAAGAGCTGGGGATGAAGCTCTGTGCTTCCTGTGTTCAATCCCCAGTACTATTAAAGACCAAAAAACCAAAAAAATAAGAGTCATGCTTGGGAAGCCTTCTGCTCACACTGGGCTACTTAGCAGAAAGAAGATGGAGGTGTGTGCTCAGATTAGCAGCTGAAGGAGTGGCTGGGAGTGGAGTGGGTATGTAAGTGTCCAGCTGAGATTAAGGTTGGCTGCTTCAGTGGAGCCGTGGTCAGAGGAACACACAGAGAAATATCTGACTCAGAGCAAGAGTCAGCTGCCTTGTCCAGAGTATACCAGTGCTATATTACGTCTGTGCTTGTCACACAAGAACATTCCTATTCCTTATCTCTCTTCCTTCATGGGCCCCACCACCCCTGCTGGCCAAAGGTCAGCTGAGTGAGTGAAGTGGAGGAGGGCCAGCAGAGAGGCCCTGACCCCCAATGCAAGGGCTGCCATCCCTAGCAGGCTGGGGTATGAGGTGGGGAGAAAGCACTAACTGTAATGAAGCTCAGAATTTGGACCAATACACTGGATTGAACATTTTTACTATTGAAATGAGACTATTTTGTGAAAACAAAGACTTTTTGTTAACTGAAGGTACCTAAAGACAAGGGACTTGTCCTAGTCACCTAGATCCTGTCCTGTGGAGTTAGTTTGAACAGATGGTTGGAAAGGAAAGAGTTACTTTTTATCCCCTTGAGAGAGTTTGTGGTTCTGAATAAAAATTATCCATTTTAAACAATCACACTGGCTGCTCTGCAGAAATAGGATTAGAAGATGCTAGTGATGAAGGCAGAGAGTCAGTGGAGCTGATCAGTGATTCCTCCACTTCCTAGCTGTAGGACTTTGGGCAAGCCACTTAACTTCTCTGTGCATCATTTCTTCATTTTAATGTGGTAATGTACTAGGATGCCTTAGAATTGTTGAGAGGAATGAATATACTAGTATGTAAAGTACTTGAAGAGTGCCTGACTCATAGTAAGCATTACAAGGCATTTGCTACTATTTTTATTTTACAAATTACTATTTACAGGTCAAATGTTAAATAGTGCTGAGTTGGACTACCTTTAACCAGAGAATGGGGAAACGTTCATGATACGTTTTGGAATTATACTCACCGGGACTGTGTAAGGAATGAGTGGATGTGGAGAATGAAAGATAAAGGACAAGAATGGCTCCCAGGTTTCTGGCTTGGACATCTGTATAGAAGTGATATTGAGGGGGCTGGGGATTTAGTTCAGTGGCACCGCACCTGCCTCGCAAGTGCCAGGTCCTGAGTTAGATCCCTGGCACCTAAATAAATAAATAAATAGATAGATAGAATTGATATTGAGGAGGACAGGAATTGTATATAGGCTTCACAGAGACTTCTGCTTAATGATGCTTTTTAAGAGTCTCTATTTTAATAGTAAAATAGTAGTTAGCATGGGCCAAGGTGAACCTTTCTATTAATTATAGGCTAAAGAATACCTCCCCAGGGACCAAACTGTCTAACTCCCAAACAATAGCTGCAGTTGAAATATCAGCCCATGACTATTACCCCAATTTAGGCAAGGCACAAAACACCTCAAGGTGTTTGGCCTTGGACAAACTCATTATACACTCATCCATGTGAGTTGCATCTCATGGAGTAAATTATGGGTAGGAATATTTGTAGTTAACATAGAGGATGTGACTCAGCATGAGCTATCAAACATGCTCAGAACAGCTCTCTAGGAGGGATGTGGACTCTTGACCAGAAATAAAAGTCCACTTTCCCCTATTCTCGGGGCAACTGTGAGCCTTTTCACAGCTTGCTCTCACTCACCTAGCATACTTCTTTCATGCCTTCAATAAATGTACACTTTTGTTGCCTTTTCTGTGTCTTGTCCAATTCTTTGTTCAGGACATCAAGAACCTGGAAAGAAGCCCAAAGGGCCCTTTGTCTGGTAACATTTCCTGGTGAGCCAGGAAGCAAGAAGACCCATTTCTTGTCTCATTTTAATTGTCCGGCTGCACTCTTGCAAGCATGGGTCAAACAGTTATATGTTGGTAGGGCATCTGCTACTTGAAGACTTCCATGACAGGATAACTTGGTCATGGGACAGAGCATCGTAGACTCCACTAGGCTCAAGAGAATTCCCACACATCAGCTAGGTCTCTGTTTTATGTTTGTGCAACAAAAGGATAAAATATCTTGGTTACATAATCTTTTCCTACAACCATGAATGTCTTGCCAAGGTTGCTTCTGCATTCCAGGGCTCTCATTTATAATCCTTTGTCTCCCTTCTGAGTTGCATTCTTTCCTGTAGCTCAAATTCTTCTCCTTCCACCTCCCCTACCTGCCAAATTGCTCTCTCACCCTCCTGGATGTCAGACAAACTGGTGCTTTTAGACAAAGGCTACGGTTTTCGTTTCTGAGGTCCCATTCGGCCAATTTATAAAGCTGGTTATCAGATGGAAAAAATGGCTTTTGAACAGTATGTAACATGCACTGAGTCATAACAGATGACAAAGTTGGGATCATCTCCTCTCTGGGAATACTAAAGGAGGGAACACGTCTTCCTGGCAACCTTTGAGGAGTTAACAAGAGTCCATTGGAGCACAGCTTGGCTGGTTGATAAATTTACTTTTGGATTTCAATTTGAATTGGTATTTTTTCCTAATTGGCATGCTTAAAATATTTCTTGTGCATTGGGATAGTTCTTAAACTGCAACTCCAGGGTTAACTTGCTCTTCTGCTGCTTTCTGCTTATGCTAAAATATGGATGTTACTCAAGGTCACTAGGAAGTTTGTCGGTCAGCCAGCCCTAACTGGAATGTAAACATCTATATATTAACTCTGAAACCAAAGAAAAAATATGTACTAGGGGTATTTTAAAATTCAAGGATCTACTAGAATTGTTACAGAAGGAGATCAGTAACTAGGATAGAGAAGGAAATATGTATTCTAAGTTTTTTCTCTTGTTGGTTTATTTAGGCCTAAGACCTCTTCCTTCTAAATCTCTTTGTTGCTCAAATGTGGCTAAAGAGGCTGTAACACTGATTCTCAAATCATCAGTTACTCTTCCCCAAGTTCCAACTCCCCTCTATAGTCTGGCTGTCATCAATGATTCTCCTTTATTGACTCCAGTGCTGGAGATGCAAGGGCAAGAGAAACCAGGTCTATACTTCCAAAACTACTATATAGATTCAATGCAATGCCAATTGAAATCCCAACAGTATATTTCACAGAACTAGAGAAAACAATCCAAAAATTCATTTGGAACCAGAAGAGACCTAGAAGAGCAAAAACAATTCTAGGCAACAGAGACATGGCAGGGGGTATAGTAATCACCAATTTGAAACTATACTACAAAGCCACTGTGATAAAAACAGCATGGTACTGGCAAAGAAACAGACCCGAGGATCAGTGGAATAGATTAGAAGATGCAGAAACAACTCCAGACATACTCAGCTACCTCATCTTTGACAAAGGAGCCAACCATCCTCACTGGAGGAGTCTCTTTAATAAATAGTGTTGGAAAAACTGGATTTCAACTTGCCAAAGATTAAAACTAGATCCCTATCTTTCAAAATGCACTAAACTAGAATTGAAGTGGAATAAAGATCTAAATATTAAAACAGAAACACTAAACTTGCTGGAAGATAAGTTGGGAAGAACTCTCAAAGACATTGGCATAGGAAAAATCTTTATAAACAAATCCTCAGTAGCACAGGAACTAGCACAAAGAATCAACACTGGGATCTCATCTTATTAAAAATCTTCTGCACTGCAAGGGAAACCACCAACAGAACTAAGAGACAACCTACAATGTGGGAAAAAATTTTTACCAGCTGTTCCTCAGACAAAGGTCTACTATCTAGAATCTATAAAGAACTCAAAAAAATCAGACCCCCCAAATATAAAGACCTAATTCAAAAATGGGCATCTGAAATGACCAGACATTTCTCAGACAAAGATGTAAAAGCAGCAAATAAATACATGAAAAAATGTTCAACATCACTGGTCATTCGAGAGATGCAGATGAAAACCGCTGAGATTCCACCTCACCCCAGAAAGAATGGTTGCTATCAAGAAATCAACCAATAACAAATGCTGGCGGGGCTGTGGGGAGAAAGGATCCCTTCTCTATTGCTGGTGGGAGTGCAGACTGGTGCAACCACTGTGGAAGTCAGTATGGAGATACCTCAAAGAACTAGAACTAGAGGTCCCATTTGACCGAGCTGTTCCCCTACTGGGTATCTTCCCAAAAGAATTAAAAGAGTCATACCACAGTGATGTATGTGCACCCACATTTATAGCAGCACAGTTTGTAATAGCTCAAACTTAGAAGCAACCCAATTGCCCATCAACTGAAGACTGGATAAAGATGTGGGTTTTTTAATAAAATGGAGTACTACTCAGTCATAAAGAATGAGAAACTAGAGACATTTATAGCTAAGTGGATGCACATTGAGACCATACTCTTAAGTGAAATAAATAAGACACACATGTATAAATACCGAATAGTTTCTCTGGTGTGAAAAACTAAAAGTATAAATAAAGATCAAAATGTATAATTGATATTGTGAAATAGGCAGAAAAGGTCTAAAGGAATAAGGAAGTGGGAGGGGTAGGGGAAAGGAAAGAAGGGAAAAGAAAAAATATGAGAAAAGGAAAAAAATGGCAACAAAGTCTTTGTAAATAGGGAAGGGTGGAGGGGGTAAAGGGAGAGCAGGAGAATGGGGAAAAAATAAGAACCAAGATACATCATGTAAAGGTACAAGATCCCAATGATGAATGTAACTGTATTGTATACCTAAAATTTACCAATGAACTTAATGGAAAAAAAAAATGTTGCAGGACAAAGAGAAACCAGGTCTCTCTCTATCTGCCATTGTGTGCAGGTTGCTGTCCACTCTCCTCCCCTGTGGTGGCCTAGTGCTTAGTTGCCAATTTCCGCCCCTCCCTCTTTTTGCTCAGCAAGTCTGGTGGCCTCAGGGGAGCCTACAAGGGCAACCATAAAAGTGACTCAGAGAACTCTTTGTAGATCTGCTGTCCTCTCATCATAACTTTCTTCCCAGTTTTCTTTCTTGATAACACTCCACGAAGAGCAAGGAGCGGCTGGGTCCTCCAAGGCTCCATGAGACCTTGATACTATATCTGGCTACAGAGTCCACCAGGACTAGGGCTTCAACTTGGCTTAAGAACTACAATTTCCTGCTCTAGCAACACAATTAGGTAAGTGTAATAAGTCTCCAGCCATTTCATGGCAGATGTTTGGTTTGGCCTGTTATACTTGCTTTTCGCAATCTCATAAAAAGGGAAAACCAACCCATGTGATCCAGAGAGAGACAATAAGATCAAATGCTAAAATACTGGATTAATTCCCTAGCAGTGACAGATAAAAAGGAAAGGAGGCCTTGACATTCAACTAGTGACTATTTTGGTTAATAGAGAAGTGTTTTAAAATCCATGCATATATATAACTGCAAGTTAAAGTGCTTAACACCAAATTCTTAGTGTTATTTATCTCATTTTAACCGTGGTGATCAATTGGTACTACTGGCTTGAAAATTTTAAAGGCCGTCGTCTGATGTAACACCCCCAAAACCCCGTCCAAAATTTAATTACTAAATGTCTAATAAACTTAATAAACTACATAATAAATTTATCCAATGGGATCTGAAATATAGTCTTCAGGCCTTTTTCATTATATGTGATAGTATGGTATACTGGGGGGACTCTGTTGGATATTTTTGTGTGTACTGGAGAAAACTTAGAATTATTATTTTGTAAAATTTATTTTCTTCTTTAATTTCTATCAAAGTAATCATATATATCATAAAAATTAAAAAGTACTTGAGTTTTTATTGAAAACCAACAGCTCTCTGCTCAACTGCCTAGCCTTATTTTCCAGAAGCAAACCCTCTTCCTTTTTTCAATAAAATGATTTAAAAGTTTTAGTACTTATCTTTACCCTTGCATTCCTTTAAACTGCCTCTTGCAAAGTTACAACTGCAAGTAATCTGGTATGTAAGCTGTGGTCACTGGATAGGGTTGAAGGAGGACCCTAGAGGAATTTTTAAAAGCTGAGTTTATGTTCTGAAGCTGCAGTTTTTTGTTGTTTTTTGGTACTGGGGATTGAACTTGGGTCCTTGCACTTGCAGGGCAGGTGGCAGCACCACTGAGCCAAATCCCCGGCCCTGAAGCTATAGTTTTTATTAAAAGTACAATTTTAAAATTGTGATTTTTCTTGTCTCCGTTTTTATTTATCTTTTTTTTAATCCTACCTCACTACAAGACTTTGTTTCTCTGCCTATAACAAACATGTTTATGTTATATGTTGCTTAATGGAGGGACTGTGTTCTGAGAAATGCACTGTGAGGCAATTTTGTCATTGTTCAAGTATCATAGAATGTACTTAAACTAAGACAACTGGGACAACATCCCTAACAACTAGATGTAATCTGATAGGACAACCATTGTCTATGCAGACCATCATTGACTGAAATGTTCTTATGCAGCATATGACTGTAAATACCTAAAAGTAGCAACTACTTTTTAATACTTTTTCTTTTAAATCCCCAGCACCACAAAATCCCTAAAAATTTTAAAATATTTTCCTTCTTAGGATTCCAAAATAACCTTCAGACATTCAATTATATACCTTCTCTGTCATTCCTTGCTCTCTCAATTTAGCAGACATTATCTATTCACTTCCTATAGTTAAAAAGAAGGATTTAGGTATTCTCCCCAGTTTCGGTAGTTATTACTATAGGTTTATTCTTGGTTGTTTTTATAATTCTAAATGTTATTCTTAAACTTCTAGGTTTTATCCCATCAGTCTTATATAATATTCCTGACTCCTAAACTATATTTATTCTACTGGGTATCTATTATGAAGATAGGCACTGTTGTAAATGTTCCCTCAACAAGACAGAAACCCCACTCTCATCGGCACATTGGAGTTCAGACCTGTAAATTATATAGATGCTGACAAACTCAATGTAGAACAAAAAGCATAACAGGGAAAGTGATCAGGAGTTGGGGAGGTGGAAATGACATAGGATAGAAAAATAAAGATATGTTGAAAGAAAACAAGGAAAACCAGAATTTTAAAAGTGTGCTTTTAAGAAAAACTGCAGCTTCAGGGCACAAAAGTTACTTAATCCTTTTTCCCTTCAAGGAAACTCACTAAAAAAAATTTCCTAAGAGTCTTAATGATACAATAAGCTGATAAACTGGGCTCTGGGCCTATGCTTGTTTTTCTTTTTTTTTTTGGTACTGGGGACCGAACTTGGGACCTTGAGCTTGTGAGGCAGGTGCCAGAACCACTGAGCTAAATCCCTGGCCCTGGGCCTATGCTTTTTACCTTCAAATTGTGCTTCCTGTCACAGACCTCTATGCTCAAGGAAGCAGTACTATTAGTGGGCAGCATATCTCAAGTTCAAACACATGTAAATGGTTTGGATCCTAACATAGCCTACCAGATGGGTAATTGGCAGACAATAGCAATACACATCCTAGATCATCCTTCTCAAGGACACCCCTAGCACCCCATAAATATACCCTGCTCCAGACCATAATGTGCCCCTCTCTCTTGAGGGCCCGCACTCTATTTCTTTGAGTGTGCATTTCTTAGTTACTTTTCTCTTGTTGTTGAGACAAAATACCCAACACTCAAAGTTAAAAGGGAAAAGGTTTATGTAGCTCACAGTTTGTAGAGGTTTCAGTCCATGATCAGCTGGCTCCAAGGCAAAGTGGCACATGGCAGAGGGGAGTTGCAGAGAAGAAACAGTTCATGGTGCCCAGATGTTAGCAAAAGCAACAAGGGAACCTTAACAGCATCTTTCTGCTCCTTTCATCTCATCCAGACTCCCGGGATCAGGGCGGTGCCAAAACAATCACTCACATGTACCGGTTTAGTAATCTCACGCCCTTAATCGCAGCATCACACACTCTAGATTGAGCCACTTCTGAAAAAGAAAGCCCCATCTCATTCACATGAGGCTTTGGGGGGACATTAAGCACAGCCGTAACAGTGCACTTTAAAATTTCTGCCTAATAAATCCCTTGATGCCACTTATTGACACATCCTGAAAATCATTTTTTCTGCTATGAGAGTCAGTGAACTTGCAACTTAATTTTGTGTGTAAGGTGGTTTTAGGATCCTCATCACCCCTGTGGAAATCTGGGACTCCGTTCAGTGACAGGAGTAATAATTTTAGGTCAGGTTGTAAGATTTGGCCTCAGTGAGGGGTGATGTGTAAGCAAAGACTGAAAGGCAAGAAAATTGTTACCCATGGGAATTTTGTCCCGAAGATAGTTTCAGGTAGAGGAAACTGCACAGGCAGGAGTGTGTTTGGCATACTGAAGGACTACAGGAGACTAATGTGGCTAGAATGGAGTGGCAAAGGGTGGTGTGGTGGATGGCGGGAGATGAAGGGCCATGTGGGCTTTTGTGGTTTTTTGGTTTTTTTTTTGCTTGTGCTTGCAAGGCAGGCAGCGGAACCACTGAGCTAAATCCCTGGCAGGCTTTTGTTTTTATCCTAGTTTTTGTTTTAATGGAAAGTATTGCAAGGTTTTGAAAAGAAGAGTAGCTTGGTCTGACTTGTGTTTGGAAAGATGTGAGGCACAAGGATCACTGTGAGTTTGAGGCCAGCTCGGCCGACGTGGTGAGTTCAAGGCCAGCCTGCACTACAAAACGAGAAAAAAAAATTTTTTTTTGCACTACAAAAAACCTCCAAAACAGACAGACAGACAGAAAGATGGATATAGCTACTTATCAAAAACTGTAAGAAGTCACTGGTGGAAGTAGGAGGACTGGCTAGGTACTCATGATACACCATGGAGTTGGTGAGAAGTAGCTACTTTCTAGATGTATTTCTACACACCATAGTCTGTTAAGTGTATTTTTGTTTATATACATATATATATTTTTGTTTTGTTTTGTTTTGTTTTTGGTACCAAGGATTGAACTTAGGACCTTGCACTTGCAAGGCAGGTGCGGTGCCACTGAGCTAAATTCCCGGCCCTAGTTTTTATATTTTTAAAGTTAATACTGAATCCATTCTTTATTATGACTCATCTTTCATATGTTAGCTATAGGCTGTTTCTGAAAGTTAAAAGTCAACCCTTCTCTCAATTTATTTAATTATTGTTTAATTATTTATTATTTACTATTTATTATTCAATTATGTAATTATTATTTATTATTTACTGTTCAGCCAAATAATATGCAAAAAATCACATTCTTTTTTATAGATTCAAAATCATGATCTTGAAACTCCTTGGAGAAGATTTTTCTGGTGTTCAAGTTAAATAAATTTTCATGTTCCAGAAATTTGTTTAAAATGATGCCACATTTTTACTGGCTTTTTATTTCTGTTATGACTTTTTAGTACAATTTTTGTAGTTTGTCTTTCCTGGAATTTCCATGTGTCTTTCTTTTATCTTCTTGAGAAAAGAAACACATGTTTTCTTCATCATACCACTAATATCATCCATTTGCATTGTCATTGTGTCTTTTGTGGAGGTTGCATTTCATTTTTCTTCTTGAAGATGTTGTACTTGGGGCCAACTAACTTCCTGATATGATTTAGATTGTTTTGTAACTGCCATGCAAGACTACCAACCTGGAATTGCTTTTGATTATTGAAGGACCCTAGTTAGCAAGACAGACTCCATATTGCTGCTTGACCCACCTGCCTGCTCTTTAGATGAACTCAGAAGGAGGAAGCTTAAAAACCTCCTCCCCTTAGAAAGTCTCTTTAGAAATAACAATTAATCAACTATTGTTTTACAAATGTTCTAATGGCAGGAGGTTCTGCTTCTGTACCTTTTGCTTGCTTTACTAGTTCTATCCCATAGGGGGGCCTAGAAACTACTGGCCTCAGAGGTGTGTAAAACATGTTTGTCAACCCCCAGTTGAGGCTCGAGTCTGATGCTCGGCTCGGGTCCTGGCTGGTAATAAACTCCTGTGTGGATTTAATATTGGTCTCTGGTTGGTTCTCTCTCACTGGGTGTAGCAATTATATTCTTTCCAATATTCCATATCTTCCTCTTTCTTGTTTTACACCTCACATCTTTGGAATACATCCAAAAGTATCTTCAACAGAAAAGCAGATGGGAGATGAAATTTCTGAGTACTTGTAGGTCTGAAGATGTTTTTAGTATACCTTCACATTGATTTATAGTTTGGCAGAGGAGAAGATTCCATACTCGAACATTTTTTTTCCTCTTCAGAACTGTGAAGGCACTGTTCCTTCTCCTCTATCATAGAATATTATTAAGTTTGGTGTTAGTTTATTATTGTCCCTTGGTAACTGACATTTTCCTCTTCCTATCTAGACATTTAAAAAATAGTCCCTTCTTGTGTTCACTTGCAGCACCTTTCACAGTAGCACAGATGTGGAATCAACCTACATGTCCATGAAAGGATGAATGCATGCGGAAAATGTGGTATGTACATAACATAGAATATTACTCAGATATAAAAGGAAGGAAATCTTACCATCTGTGACAACATGGGTAACTTAGAGGACATTTTGCTAAGGGAAATAAGCTCATCACAAATTCCACTTATATTATTTATATATATATATTTCTATTTTTATATATTATTTATATATATTTATATATATTATATATATAATATATATATATATAAAACAGTCAAATTCATAAGAATAGAAAGTAGAATGGTGGTTTCCAGGGCTGAGGAGTGGGAAATGAGCAGCTGCTATTCAATAATGTAAAGTTTCAGTTATCCACGATGGATACTGTAGAGAGCTTCAGTACAACACTGTGAATACAGCTAGCTGTACTGTAATATAAACTTAAAATGGCATTAAAGAAGTAAACAATTAATTTTAAGATTTCTTAATATTTGGTGTTCTAAAATTTCATGATAATGTGTATTATGATCTTTCCCCATTTATTTTTGCACAGCACGTATTTATCTCTTTGATAGGTTTTTTCTTTTTCGGTACCAGGAATCAAACTCAGGACCTTGCACTTGCAAGGCGGGCACTGAAACCACTGAGCTAAATCCCCAGCCCTTTTATCTCTCTGATAGGAATATCTATGTCTTTAACGTTGGAGAAGATCTCTATAATTTTTAAAAGTGATTTTACTCTTCCCTCCTTTTTCCCAAATTATTCTTTTTGCTCTGTTTGTTTCCCTGGATTTCCTTTTCATCTTTTGCTTTATGTTCTAGAAGAGACCTTAGACTCTGTCTTTCAACACTTTCATTAGTTTGTATAATTTCAGCAATTATATGTTTAACTTCCAAGGACTCTTCTTTTGGATTTTTATTTTTGTGTGTGTTTGGGGAGGTCAGGGTAAGGGGTAGGATTATCCAATATCTTTTCAAATTTCTCTAAGAACACTAATTTAAAAGTTAAAAGATTTTGTTTTCTATTCCATAGGTAATCTCTGCTCTCTCAGAACCAGTGACGTTTATCTTTTTCTTTCTCTTTCTCTTTTTTTTCATTGAGGCTGGAAAATAAAGTTCCTTACCTGGCAGTCACCTCATAGAAAAGGCATCATGCTATGCAAAGAGGGACATAAATTCTTGGTGGAGAGCTAGCCACTGCTTTCATAAATAGACTTATCCACTGGTTGTCTTCATTTTAGTGTTAGAATACTGCAGGCTTTTAGTCCTTGAGGGAGAAATTTGTGACTCCAAAATTCAAGAAGGGAGAAAGCTTTATTTGGGAAATTGACATCCATCCTCAGTATTCCTAATTCTTCTCAGCTTATTCAATTTTCCAGAAAAGAAGTCTTTTAGTTTATTTACTTTATTATTATTATTATTTATTTATTTATTTATTTTTTTGGTACTGGGGATTGAACTCGGGACCTTGAGCTTGTGAGGCAGGTGCCAGAACCACTGAGCTAAATCCCCGGCCCCTTATTTACTTTATTTTTGTCAGTGTCAAGTGCCATTTGGTATTCCATTTATGTAAACATGAGAGCAGGTAGGCAGGGATACTAGCCACTCTTACATCTTTATGACCAAACACCTGAGAAAAACAAAGGAGGACGTATTTATTTTGACTCACATTTTCAGAGGTTTTGGTCCATAGTCAGCTAGTTCCAAGGCAGAAGTATCATAGTGAAAGGGCGTGGCAGTGGAAAGCTGCTCATCTCATGGCAGCCAAGAAACAGATGGTAAGGAAGAGCCAGAGAAAGAGGAAGGGGCCAGAAACAAGATACATCTTTCAGAGGCATGTCCTCAGTGACCTACTTCTTCCAGCTTAACCCACCTCCCAATATCCCATTCAACTATGAATTCATCAGTTGGATTAATCTGTTGATGAGCCAGGCACTCTCATGATTCCATCACCTTCTGAAAACCACTCTGAACACACAAGATATTTTGAGGACATTGTAGAGCTAAACCGTAACTGCAGCTATCCGGTATAGTGATGTACAGTGGAAGCTTGACTTAAAAACTTGATCAGTTCCTGAGGGCTGGTTGTAACTAAGTCAGTACAGTTGAGATCTGGATGTTTACCTAGGTACACGCTATAGATAACAAACGGCAGAATTAGGTCCATTAATCTAATTAACCAAAGTTGTTCATATGTCAGGCTGGTCGTAACTTGAGTGTCCACTGTAGTAGGCACATTTTCAATCAATTTTTCTATTTTAGCCTCTCTTCTGCTCCCTCCTCTCTGAGGCACCTACCAACTCAGCCTGAAACTTCTATGGGTTTCTGCCTTGAAGACTGACTCTATCTTACACTAAAATCCCTTCTTTTGTATTCTGGCCAATGGGTTCTTTTGTTTAACCACAGGTTTCTAGTCTCTTTTCATCTTTTGTACATTTGCTTTTAACCCTCATGCACTGGTGACACACCTCCTCTTCTCTTTACTGTTCTGAGCTTATTCCTGTTGTTATTAAGTCTCAGAAAATAAGGGAAAAAAACCCCTTTGTGCCAGGCCTATTGTACTAGACTTGGAGCCCAGAACTATTTCTTGAGTAAATCCCAGTGCTTTGCAGGAACACTTTTGGTATTCTTCCAGGGTCCTTTTTGATTATATCTTTTAAAAAATGTAATACTTTTGCCTGCTCTCTTTTTAAAGCATATAGGGATCTAACAGTTCAGAATATTAGTTTTTTTGGTTCTCTTCAGTGAGCATGGGCTGGAAGGATCTACCTTCCTGTGCTTACCAAGAGGCCAGGTAGTAGGGTATTATTTGAAGAAATGTGCTAGAAAGATATTTGTTTCAATTACTCCTCCAGCTACAGTACTTTAACTTCTATTTTTGTTGGGTTTCTGGAATTTCAACAATTATATGCCTATGTGTAGATTTTTTTTGATCAAGGCTAGTTGGAGTCCTATATGCCTCACTTATCTGTATGTCAAGTTCTTTCCCCCTGCTTGGGAAGTTGTCTGCTATCTCTTCTGTAAACAGTTTTTTCATGTCATCTGCACTCTCTCCTGTTTCTTCATTGACTCCAATCAGTCTTATGTTATTCTTTGCATTGTCTAGCAGCTGCTGGATTGATTTCTCATGGTCCCTTACAATTTTAAAGCAATTTTTCTTTTCCTGGTCACTAATTACAATCTTATCTTCTATATCTGAAATTCTGTCCTCACATTGGCTCATTTTGCTGTGTAGACTTTCAGTGGAGTTTTTAATCTCTTGGAAATCTATTTACATCTGTTTTATGGATTCCTTTTGTTTCCTATGTTGGGATTCCATCATGTTCCTGAGCTCCTCTCTAGATTTATTAATCATGTCTTGCACTATGGGCACAATCTCTGCTGTTATCTGAGAAATTGTTTCTGATTTCATTTTTTCCAGATCCTCTTTTGTTGCCAGTTCAGGGAGTCCAGGTGATTGAGTATTAGAGCGTTCCATCTCATTTCCCTTTGGGGTTGCTCTAGATGATCTGGAAGTCTGTTTTTGAGACTTATGTGTCTTCTCATTTTGATGGGGGTGGGGGGGCTGTTGGCACCTGCGCAGCTCACCTCTTCTGCACTGGGAGCAGTGGAATGGTGTCCTGGAGGCTCCTTCCTTTGTGCTGGGAGCAGTGGAATGGTGGCCTGGAAGCCCCTTCCTTTGGGCTGGGAGCACTGAAACTGCGGCCCGGAAGCCCCTACCTCTGGGCTGGGAGTGGTGGTATTGCGGCCCCTTAACTTTTATTTTTGGAATAAGCTAGAGCAACCATTGGCTTAGCCTTAGGTGATTCCCTTAACTGCTGTTATAGCTTTCATGTAGATGTCCCCTCAAAGCCCCATGTGTTCATAGGTGGGGCTTTTGGGAGGTGACTGGATCATGGGTGTGTGATACTGGATTAGTTCACTGATGAGTCTATAGCTAGGTGTGATGTTGGGAGGTGAAGCCTGGTGGGGAAGAGGTGTGGGTGTGGCCTGGAAGGTTGTTATATATCTTTTCTCCTCCCTTAATGGTTCCCTGCTTTCTTCCTGCCATGCCATGGACTATTCCTTCTCTGCCATGCCCCTCTGCCATGGAGCCAGACAGCTATGGACTGAAACTTCTACAAACTGCGAATCAAAATAAATCTTTCCTCCTTTAACTTGTGGGTATCAAGTGTTTTGTCCCAGCAATAAGAAAGTAATTAAGACAACTACTTTGGCTGAGCTGTGATTTAGCATTATGGTCTTTGTTTTAATAAAAACAGTGAATAATATAGTGCCATTATAAATCCTGTTACTGCAACTGTTTTAAAAACTTCTAAGAAGATATTATCTGTTATTTTCATCTCTCAGTGAGATATTTTTAAACAACTCATTGCTACAACAAACTTTTCTCCAGGAGCAACACATGACTGTGCTTTTATCTATAGTGTTTATGTTATAGTTTATGTCTTGACTCTATTCTATTTTTAAACTGTAGAAATATCTCTAAGGTAATGTGAATTCAGATATAACTTATTGGCAGTTGGTTCCTGGACTTGATCTGACTGCAGTTCTCAGATGGGGACTGGCTATTATCTTATATCTGGTCTAATTCTTCCAAAGCCTAAAAGTGGGGCCAGGGATTTAGCTCAGTGGTTTCGCCGCCTGCTGCTCAAGCGCAAGGACCCGAGTTCGATCCCCGGTACCAAAAAACCCCCCAAAACAAAAAAAACCCAAAGACACACAAAGCCTAAAAGTGAAACAAGTAAACTAAAACATCCACCACCTGCCTCTCAAGTGCAAGGTCCTGAGTTCAATCTCGAGTACCAAAACAAAAACAAACAAAAAACCCCCAAACAAACAAACAAAAAAACCACAAAACCCCCCAAATAAACTAAAACATATATTAACTGGAAGACTAATTGAAAAATTTTTTTCAACTTTGCAATAAGGTGGTCATGAATGTCATATGATAGAACTTTTTGAAATCTACTTATAATAAGAATTTTACTGTATTACTGTTACTGAATCTCTAATTCTACAGGGTTAATAAAAGTATATACTATTTGTTGTCAGTGAAAGCACAATTTTATGTTGTACACATTATATATTGTTTTATTTTGTAAGACACTTCAAAACCCCCATAGAACAAGGTAACAAATAACAACATGAATATGAAAAG